TGACAAATTGCACTACTACAGCCTTATATCCTTTTCTATTTGTAAAGAAGTGAGTCTTATTGCTTATTGATTATATCTATCAAAGTCTATAAAGATTCATTAAATATTCTACATATCTCTTCTTGAGCCATATAAGACAATGAATACCTTGAAAAGAAGAAAAATGACACTCCCTCTTATAGAAGTAGATATTAATCAAGAATTTGAAATAGCAGTGCCAAATGGATTAAAATATCTTGTTCATTGGCATCAAAATGATGTTAATGAATGCACATGGAAACCAGCAAAAGAATCTTGCAAATACAACAAAGAAGGTTGAAACTTTTCATTAATAACATCCATTAAAATCGAGATGAAGAATAGCAAATCTTTGCTATAAAATAAAAAAGATCTAATAAAAATATCATTCTACCTTCTACTTTTGTTTCTAGCTTCTTTGTATTTGTAGTCCTATGAAAATGGAAAACTAACAACCAATAGATTCAACTTAAGAGCTATCATTTGTTGACTTATCAAATGAGACATTACAATTGTCACAACCTTCAAGACGATGTAATTAAGATAAAGAACTTTAAGAATAATATGTCTTTTTTTGAATAAATGGTAAGATACAACATGTTTTATATGCCAACTTTGGAAGAAACTCCCAATGTTTGGTGATTTAGTAGAGGTAGCAATGACTCTCAATGGAATTTCAAATGTATAAAATATAAACATAATTATTTTTATTTATTATAGATTTATTATAATATTATAGATCTAAATAATAAAAAATTTAATTTATATAAATTTAATAAAAAAATTCATTAAATTATATAATAACTTATAAAAAGAATTTATAAATTATTATAGCATCATCCAACTTAATATCAATTGGTTGTTGTTAAAAATATAAAGTATATGAAAATATAATTTATTTCTATTTTTATAAGATTCAAATATTATTAATAATTCTATAATTTTTATATTATATATTAATAAATTAAAATTTTACTAAAAGTATATTAAAGTCATTTAATATTAAATATTTTTTCTTTTAGAATAAAAAAAAGAAAATTAATTAATTAAGTAGAATTCTAATAAATTTGACTATAAATAAATAAATTTGATAACATTTCAATTGAATAATGAATCTCTAAAATTATTTTAGTGCTTTAAAAAAATTAGTAAAATAAATCTTTAAGTGCTTAGTAATTTTTATTTTATTTTTATAATATTAAATATTAATAGATATTACTTAATATGATATATATGTTAAAAATTCTTATTATTTTTATATATTCAAATAATTTTATAGATTAATATAATTAGATAGAAAAAAATATGATTAAATAAATATGATAATATTTTATGAAAAAGCTTCTTAAAAACTTTATAGAAAAAAATTTGATTTTTTTATATTTTTATTGGTAATTAGTAGGTTATAAATTTGGCCAACAAGTTGGCCACATATTACACATGTTGGTGACTTGTAGTTAAATTAGCCACATGCTACACATAAAACTTATCTTGCAAGTTAGACATGTATTAGACATCATATAGAAAATTCTCACATAGCTCTTACTTAGATATTATATATGGAGGTAAGAGTAAAGTCTTTTATATTCATGCAAACACTTTTCTTGTTCTTGGTCTTATTTAAACAGTCTTTTGTCTTCTTTTTTTTATCAATAGCTATTCTAGTCTTAATATTATGCCATCTTTCAGTGAATATCTAGTATTTCCTTGCAACACAAGAATATATTCATCTTTTGATTCTTTGTGATTTAGGTCTTTTATAATTTAATAAGAATGTTAATTCACTATTCTTCTTTTGTTTTAGAAGTGAAAAGAATACTTTAATTTTTTTATTATATTTTAAAGATAGCAAACTATCCATCTTTATACTAATATATATATATATATATATATATATATATACATTTTTATTTTTAATATTTATTTTTTTTCTTACAATGAGTCAATTATGTTTTTTTTGTAGAAATCATTATTTAATGTTAGAAGTTGTAGATTACCCTCTTTTAATTTGACTTCAGGAGTTACTAAAGTTGTTTCTTATAAAGATAAAAGAAAAAATTATGGAAATTATACTAGATTAAAATGATAATACATTTATAATTTTTTAAATCTTCACAAGTTTTTTAATATTCTTAGAATGGAAATTTCACATATTATCAATGTCAACTATAGAAGTATTATTTCTATGCCTATGGAAGAAGCCAATAATGAGGTTGAACATCTAGATTCTTATATCTTAAGAATTGTGAGATATTCCTTCTATGCTTCTACATAAGGACTCTTGTTGAATATACAATAGCTCTTGAAGAATATCCTTTGTTCTTTAGTAATTATAAATATCCCAATTAGTTGTTGATTTCATCATTAATAATTCTAATAAAGTTGGAGTCATCTAATTCAATAATTCTAATTAAACACTATATCTATCTTTAACAACTTGATACTTCAAATCTTTATTTCTTATATCCACATATGGCTTGTAATATTCTACTTATCACCAAGTGAATTTTTATTAATATTTTTGTAGATTATAAATACATTAATCTTTAGATAGAACTTTAGATTGCACTTAATGAATTTTATCTTGTAACTAATTATTTTCCTTGTAACTCCATGACCTTAATTCAAAAGCTTTTTTTATCCACAATTAAACTTAAAGGTATTTGTGAATCTTTTTTTAATTCTTTTTATGACTTAAGATTCATTTTATGTATTGATAAATTAAAAAGATAAGTCATAATAGAATGTCAATTGTAATCTTTTTATTAGGATTCTTAATATGATATCTTCAACATAAATTTTTCACTATTTATAGTTTTTAAATAGTAAGTTTTTTATTATTATTTAAACTTAATAAATCTATTTTATTACTAATTACTTAAATTAACTAAGGTGGTTGTAACCACCTTGTTTCTTTAACATATAGATAGCTTTTCCATACTAACTTCTCTTTTTTTAATCTTATTTATACTAGATTTTTTTTAAAAAAATTAATACTAAATTATTTTTTTTACTTTTTTCATATCACAATTTTTTTCTCTCTTTTATCATCTTTTTTTATTTTTAACACCTTTTTCTATAGAATCATTTTTTTGTTAATTTTTTTCTAAAGTTTTTTCTAAATATTTTTTTAAAAAAATATAAATTTTATCACTTCATTTTAAATTTATATTAAGTATTTTTAGAAATATAAATATAATTTTAGGATTAAAAAAGATCTATTATCTATTCTAAGAAGTTGTGGAATTGAAAGAAGCAAATAGATCAATCTTACAATTGAATTTAAAAAGTCTTACTATTACAAGTACAAGAGAAGCAAGGATTAATATGTCAAAAAGTTTGATAAAACAAGATCCAAATCTCAAGGATTCCTACAACCAATCATGCTCTATCTAATGTTACATCTTTTCTAATATCTACATAGATTTACTCAAATTAGATTCATTGGCGCACTTATAACTGTAAGTATTTTCTTTCAATTTGTATCTTTGATAGAAAAAAAATTTACATATTTTATATGAACTAAATTTATTTTTGAAAGTGTTTATAGCCATATTTGGAGAAAGTAAACAAAAAAAAATAATAGAGACATAATTCATATCTTTATAACAAGGATGGTAGTTAACTACCATATATGTTGCTAAATTCCAAAACCTTATTTGTAATGTGGATTTAAATGATAAAGCCTTTAACAAAAAATATTGATATGTATTAAAAGATACTATCAAATATTTAGTATTGATACAGCTTTTTAGAAGCTTCATAGATATAAATTTAACTTTATACATGTTTGTGGATTTTAAATAGGTTAAAACTTGGCCAACAAGTTGGCCATGTGTCATACATATTGGTGACTTATGGTGCAAGTTAGCCATGTGGCATATGTATAGGATACTTGTCTTGTAAGTTAGACTTGTGTTACAAGTCTTATAGAATGTCACTACATAGTTGCTAGTTAGATAGTATATATAGAGATAAAAGTGAGGTCTTTTTTATTCTTATCAATGTCTTTTTTGTCCTTAGTTTTATTTTAAGGACCTTTAGTATTTTTATCTTTGTCAACAATCATTTGTCTTAATATTATACCATCTTTGAGTAATTATATACTCTTTTTTTGTAACAAAAGAATGCATTGATCCTTTGGTTCTTTGTAATTCATATCCTTAACATATATTCTAGTTAATAAAAAGAATGTGTAAAAAATCTATAAATATTTTAAGCTTATAAATTAAATATCTTAGTTAAAAGATACTTTCACATTAGCTTTGTAGATGTATAGAAATTATAATAAAATTTCTAAAACAACTACATTGGACAACAAAAAATACCTAAAGATTTAATCTATATTAAAGAGATATTTTTATTATTTTTTGAAAGTGATTTTATCTACTCAATTTAATTTTTCATATTTTTATATACTTATATTTATTAAAATGGTTTATATAAATGTGATACTATATAATATTAGGATATCTTAAAATAAAGTTAAATTTTTAACTTTAATTTTTGTAATAAATGTCTCACCAAATATTGCAATTTAACATGCAATTTATTAAAAGAATAGAAATATAGGAAAATTATAAAATTATAAAATATTTACAGAATTTAACATTAACATTAAATTTCCAAAGAAATAAAACTTAAAGTAAAAAGCATTGAGAATTTACAATCTATATTCAAGAAAAATCTATTAAAATAAATAATTGGAAAATAATAGAAACTTACAAACCATATAGAATTGACGAAATAAAATAGATAATTAGAAAGTAATAACAAAAAAACAAAAATTAAAGAACAATAAGACCTCAAAAATTAGGAGGAGAATAACACCATTGAAACAAGAATTGAAAAAAATATATTGATAAAACATGAATATTGAAATATTAAAGATTAAAGCAAAAATGCAAAATAAACATCATTAATATCAAGTAGAAATAAAAATATATCATGGGTACGATAGGAATTAAAAAGCAACAATGAGATAAAGATAAAATTACAATAGAACTTAAGAATGGGTACAAGTAGATAGTGAGGCAAGAGGTGAATGTCAAACCAATTACCCATATACTAATATAATGAGGATGAATGAATCCAACCATCATCCACATTCATCCTATTCGCACCGACACTCAAGCTGCTCCGGACCGTGGGGTCTCGACGGCAAGTATCACACTCTGTCGGTGAGGATGCTCCTCGCGAACTAGATTCAGAGATTGCACTCGATCACCGAACTCGACTGTTGTCTAAGCAGTGATTCAGCCCAAGTTCTGCGTCTTCGAATCTTCTGTTGATGATGGGAATACAATGGGCTTGAAGGGTTTGCCGCAGTGCATACGCAGTGAAGAAATTTTTGTAATCGACGTTAATCGAAGGCGGGTGGTAAAGATAGTCGTGCTTAAACGGTGCTGGAATACAATGAGAGGTTGAGCTGGAGGTGAGATTCTGTGTGAAATCGCAGAGTTAATAGCCCACTACGTCGCCTTTGGTCAACATTCTTTTTGCGAGATGCGCCTGGTCCGTAGCATTGCATCCGTCTACACTATGCTCCGTAGTTACTAAACATTAACCAGAGCATGAGCATCCTGTGATGAAATCTGAAAACTGTTGGATTCCTTGGACGGCTCTGAATCTTACAGGAGCTAAATTACATACAAGGTGCGCACAACGTGGGGTCCACATTACATGCAATGATAGGATCATAACCTAACTGTGCAGAGTCCATAGCGCATCTCTGAAGAATTGGTCTAGTGTACAGGCGATACTTCAATGTTAGGTAGATAGAGAGATGCTCAAACCTAAAGCTAAGCGGAGCTGGTTTGATTTAGAGTCCTGATTACTCAGTAAACCTGGAGACAGGATGTTGTCCATTTAAAGAGGGCCCTTCTGTAGCTGTAGCGGCGAGAAGGGCGATGAAATTCTCTGGAAGACACAGTCTGTGGGATGCGGTGACGAATATGCTTATGAAAAGCATTAACAGCCCCTTCTACACCATCCTCATTTTCCATGGCTTTCGATAAATCCAGTGCTGCTTGCTTCACCTGACAATACACGCGTTTTAAGACTTCATGATTCGTGACAGCAACAAACGATTTGCAGTGGAGGTCATCTAGAATGTATTCTCATTAGAATCCTGACACCTTGGTTGTGTTTCACAAAATGAATACAAATCTACGCGCAAAAGCATGTGTATGTATGAGCTCGAGGGGAGCAGATTTCTGTAAATGTAACTGTATACGAATAACAAAAGATATGTGAGTATATTGTTTGTGGCAAATCTCCATATTCGAATTAACTTTAGCAAAGGGTTTCAGAAATGTACCACAGGGTCGAGCATTTTCTCAATAGCATTGACAAGCCTCTCTAGAGTGAGGTGGTTGACTGGAATAGGTGCTGGTCCCACTCCCTTTTCATGCACACGATCACCCCAAAAAGGCTGGTCCCCAAAAAAGGGGATGATTGTTGTCGGACACTGTCAACACAACAATGAAAACACGATCACATTGAGATGAGAAGGGCTTGATGGGGGACCACGATATATGAATAGACATCAAATGATCACGAGGCGGAGAGCGATCTTTAAGAATATCGTTTCTGCCTCCTAAACGAGCCAGCCCCAGTAATTCAGATTCTTTGATGACGTGCAGGATTGAGATCCAAATTCTGCTGCATCTAATATGTAATGTTTAAGTTTTCATAAGTTTTTCAATTACTAAGCAAGCCAAATGGTAACGTAGACCTAGATGAAACTGAAGCAGATGAGCTCTAACACAAGGTAGCAGATAAAAAAGTACCGCAGCCTTGAGACCTGCAGATGTGGTTCCTGCACCACCGTGATGAATCTGAACACAAAGTGAAGAGCTTCTCGTCATGTTACAGTCAATGGCTCTCCCAAAAAACAGAAAATAGAAATAAAGAAGATAAAGAAAATGTAAGAAAGAAACAAAGTAAGAACAATACCACAATAGAATTACTGAATACACATTGCTGAGAGTTTTCATAATCTGCAATTCTAAACGAATTTTGAGAATAGAATTTCTGCCATCAACGGATGAACGACCAAAAAAAACAAAAAAAAACAAAACAAAACAAAACAAAATGGCCTGATCACATACCACTCCAGCACATTGCGGAAACAGCCAATCGTGGGGACAGTCAGAAAGAAGAAAGATATTTTCTGGAGTTTCCGGCACTGCAATTATTGAGAAATTATCTGATGGGTCAGTACAATGAGATGCGACTAGGTGTCAATAACATGTTAATCTGCAAAAAACTATGGTATCAGAAGATATTAACATGAATCAGCATGCTAAAAACAATTGACTGAAAAAGTACCACACAATGATCTGTTAGAAAACCTAGTGTACATGCACATAGTTCAGGATAGACGGTATTAAGCGGAAGCACACTTATTACTTAACATGATACTTACAGTTTCCGATGCCACCCCAACCCTTGCCAATTATCCCTCTTTGTCCGGTCTTGTTGAGCGCCTCAACAATAATTTTGGTCATGCCTTCCGGGTCTTCAACAGGCTACAGAGAAACAAGTGACCGATACAATTCAGCTTTATGTTAGTCTCCTAACTCTATCCTGAACTGTTAAACTATATGGAATTGGTTGGTCTCGTTCAATGTCATGTGCTGTACACAACAAAGCAACACAAAATCCATACTTGTATATCGAAAAGACAGAAGAGAAGTCTCTGACCCTTCAATTAATTGTTACTGCCTCACTAACCACATGCTTAATTCAGCACTGTATTTTCAGTGGACAGCATTCCGTAGCATCCACAGACTACACTCCACAGGACTCAAGTTATAAACTGTTACAATTCAGCGAACTTTACGTGTCTATGCTTTCAGTCCTAATTGTAGCCTGTAGGTATTTGTTAAAAGAAGCTTACAAGACTCCCAAACCCGATGTAAATTGGAGGTGAACCAGCTTTCAACCAGTTCACCAGGTCTTCTGGAGGTTTGTAATCCGTGGCAAGGTTTAAGAAGCAAAAGCCAACCACGTCAACTGATGATCCCCAGTCTGCACAGCGAGAAAGAATAATTTGTAAGTTGGTTCGTTGTTCCAAGTCAATGTGCAATTTTCCATGAACAGATAGCAAACCATGAGGAAATCACAGCACAGCAATCTGCGTTTTAGGTTTTACTACTGTCTGACAAACATGTATAGGTATCAACATGCAAATGGATCACCAGCAGTGCTAAGAAGCTCGTGAGTCAGAAAATTTGGAAAAAATTGAACCTCTGGGCTTCGGAACCAGGTGGGGGCTCCAAATATACCCTGTTGGCATTTCAGCGATAGAACCATGAGAACCGCTGAAGTAAGTAATAGGTCGTAGCTTCAGCTTCTTCTTTCGATAACTATTAATTATCCCACGAATCCCCAACCAAATCATAGTGTCCACGATTTGATATGACATCTGACAAAAAATAATAGGAAAAAAACAGAAAAAATAAATCACTCCATAAACACAAAACCGAAGTTCGTGAAATCAACAAATCTAAACTGAGCAGGAAATATAGATCTGCATCGACAGAAGTATTTTTTGCAATCCATGGAACCACCTGACAAGCTTCGGATTTATCCGACAAAGTCATAGGCACCAACAGAAGATGATACTTACTCGATACCCAGCTGGTTGCTTTACTCGGGACAGAGGATGTGGAAACGCGGAAGTAGGCCTTTACAATCCAACAAAGAATCACAACCCAAAACGAATCCTTGGCAACAAATATTGAAACAACTTTGATGCTTCATCTATCTCATGGATGACTACAAAATAACATGGCAGGGCCAAAATCTTACGTCCAAGGCATCGTGAAAAAGATGTGCAACGGGATTTTGAGGAACTCAGCTACATGAACGTGTCCTGTGGAAAAGACCCGGTTCCTTTAATTAGACCATAGGTCAAACTTCTTGCCTTTCTTCACGAAAATCTTCAATAGTGCATTAGATATGAAACAAGAAAAAATAGTAATAGGAAAATATGTTACTAGTGAAACCGAGATAATCAAAAATTCAAATTACAAAATTTTCTACAATACATACATGAGCTAGAAAGGTGTGTTGTGTACAAGATATGAAAAACAATGATAAGATATTTGCAATTAAGTATAGGTGCCTGATACGGATCTGGATTCAATTTTTCTTCATTACCCAAAATGATCCATAATGGGTCCCTCAACATTTCTAGAGTGCTGGAAAAACAAAAAATAAGAATAACTGCATATATATTTTCTTGACGGAATATGGTGTTCAACAGTAATAATATTAAATCTGGTTTCGAAATTTGAGTGAGGGGATTCATACGTTTATGGCTTGCTCTTGTAGAGAGAACCATTACCCAAACAACTAAAATTTAGACTAATACAAGAAGTTCTGTGATGTGTGTACCATATGCTGGAGGGTTGGCAATGATAGCTTGTGCTTGAAAAGGGATGCCAGAAGCTAAGTCAGGTTGAGTGCAAGCTGGGAGTAAAGAATGCACAATTGACTTGATTTGCTGACGCTGCACTGGGATCTCCGCAGGGTTGGAGGGCAAAAAGCCCTTATTCTTCACCATATCTGTTAGCATATCAAATAAACCAAACTTGGTGAAATATAAATGAGATGAACAAAAACTTGGACTTGCAAAATGAGTGAAGATGACACCAATCTTTGAAACAAATCACTTTTAGAATGGTCTGCCGTACCGTACTCTCATCTATGCCTATTGAAAGTGCTCCACTCAACAGTGGTATACACAGTTCAATCTATGCTTTCACGAACGAAGCTTCTCGATCTATATTCCGTCTCCAAAAGAAAGTGTAATGGCAAGAATACAGCTTTCATGTTTTAGAGATACATATTTTATGAAAACTTACATCCAGCAAGAACCACGGGATCGCCTCCTAATGGATAAAACTCTAATCCTCCACTTTTCACAAAGCCTTCGAAGTTTTTATGTGACGCCAATCTTACTCGGTGTCCATGTTCCTGCACTAGCTTGAATATATCAGTATGTTTGAACACACCTCTTCAAGAGAACAAACAAATGTAGATTTAGAATTAACAGGGTATTGAAAATCTTATCTCCAAGCCCAAATTATCACACGCTTGACAGTAGTACATTTCACGTAAGGCAAAATAGAACCCAAAACGAAAAAGTTGTGCAAGTCATACATCCAAACACAAACAGGAAAAAGGGGTGGGCCATGTGTTAACCTGCAGTTTTCTCCCAATAGCGATGAATGGTTGTACATCACCCCGAGTGCCAACTATGAGCATAACAATTCTCAAGGGAGGGACTGACTTAAAGTTGTTTAAATATTCTTCTTGAGTCGTCTTCTCATCTTGCCCATCGTCATCATTTTCGTATTTAGCATCTCCTACTGGCGAGAAGCCATACCCAAACAAGTCCTTAGCTGCTTGTGAACTATCGCCCACATCAAACTCCACCACTCCGTCTTTTTTGATTGTGGCCAGTTTTCTTAACAGCTTTTTCTGCGATGGAAGCAATAATTTTATATGGCCTGGATGAAATACAATGAATAACATGCGAAAAGTAGAAGACATATGCCCATTAAGAACGAGGATGTAGAAGAGGAAGAGAAATACCTTTCTGCGGTCCGACAATTTGTTGAACTCTGGAGTAACACGGACGTTAACGTTGTCGGTGTTCATCCCCCTTCTTCTCTTTTCAGTGCTAGACCGTCTCAAAAACCTAGCAGAATGAACACTTTCAGATTTTGGTGCCGGCATAGATTTTGTCCTCCCAACTGCTTCATCTGCAACAAAATACTCGAGTTCAGGAGAAAACTAAGAAATTTGCGCAACATCAATGACGAGTAAGTTCTACCTCAGAGCTGCTGGCCCAGATCCATTGAAATACAGTTTATAAAATGTGGAGAGCCCTTACACTCCCCAAGATGAACACGTAAAAGAGATTGAAAGAAAACACCCGAAAAAATAAAAGTAAATAAAAGAAATCGAAGCACCTATAAAACTTCAAACGCATGTGACAAAGTTAAAGCATGAACGAAAGGTCTTCATACACTAAATGTTTTCCACAGCAACGAGGTATGAAGAGTAGTCATAGGAAATGAAATTTGATAGCATGAAAATCTTTCCAAACATCCTGCATAACGAATGTACATGATAAGACCTAAGAGAATTCTAGCAAGAAAACAGAGAAGAAAGAGGTGAGAGGAAGAGGGAGTAGCTTCGACTTTGGCAAGTAAAGCATGTAAAATCTACCAGATGCTACATCCTCAGCGTTTTCAAAAATGTTCTGCAAGAGATGGACGCTGCTGTCTTTGAGTACTTTCATTTCATGCTCAGAAGTACTCATATCTCCCACAGGTGATAAATCTCCAGAACCGTTCCCTGAAATCAGGGTACTGTCAGAAGATGGCATCGAGGCAGGCACCGAGAGATTGTCATGCAACGGCTGGCCGTCCTCCTGACCTAGCCCATTTTCGCCCTTCAAAAACAAAAGCAGTGATCGTGAGCATGTACAATGCGCACCCTCCCAGCAGTTGTAAAGAATATTCAGACAAACTAATATTACATCTGATTTTCAAATGCTGGACCAAAAAAAATATATCGGAGGTTGTAACCTCATGAAGAATATAACCATTCGTGAAGACTTCAGAGCAAGAAAACGCAAGATGAGGAAGAACTCATAAGCCAGAAACTTTGCCAAACTACACCAAAGCCGGTAATGCTATTCCTTCATACCGAACCTCGACTCTTCAGTTTCAAAATTAGAGGTGGGATCGAGGATCATAGAAACTCATTTCATAGAGGATGAGTGCCAGCACCTTCAAGTCAGCGGTGTGAGGATTTGATCCGACCAGAGATGTGTTTGCCTTTCCATCCACCCTGTCAAAATTTGACGAAGCAGTTCACAAAAGCTTTTCGACGCACTCATACAGATTCCTCAACACACTAATAGGAAGACTTTTATGCGTTTGAACCATATCCGTGATGAATCACACAACAATATGAGTGAAGGCGGGTAACATAATCAAGATAATAACTACATCAATGGCTGTCATGAGAAGCTGTGGCAGGGTCAAGCCGAACCAACCTACACACCACGACATTCGCACGCCCTTCTCCAAGAGAGCTGGTTCTGAATTCCGTTGCATTTTGCAGAACACTGGTGGACAGCGCGGAATCCGTTACCAAAGCCTTCATGGATTCAAGACTTTGGCTTTCAATCCCGCTGTCCTCCGACAGAAGAACAGACACAACATCCAGGCCGGAGCTTTCACCATCCTTATCCGTACACTGCTGAGAACTAGAAGCTAAATCAGCCAATAAACTCGGTGGAACTGCAGCTGGGAATGTTGTCAAAAGCGGGATGTCCGTTGTACAAGTCACGAAATCATTTTCACTGGTCGAGGCACTAGGAGTACCGGCAGGGAGATATTGAAGAGTGGATTGGTTTGATTCAAAATTATCTGGGATAGTTCTCAGCTGTGAGGCAGAAGAGAGGGAATTACTAGGTGAAGCTGCATCAGAACTGTGATGTAATCCTTGAGTAATCCTTGAAGTAGTTGTCATTTCAGACCTGCTGGGTTGTGGGGTCCTCAATGTGGAATCGTGTAACATATTTGAAGATGTATGGAGATGAAGAGCAATGGGCTGAGAATCACCGATGACGGACATGGCTACTAAGATTGTCAGGGTAGTCGGAGCAACATGAATGCGTCCAAAAAGTCTCTCCTTGCAGCTCAGATTCTTTTGCGCTGTATTGACGCGGGTCGTAGCAATGTAACCTGCATACCAACAAAGTGTTAATTTCCTAGCCAGAAATGTCTTTGAAACTTTCAGATGTACGTCGATAATCCAAAATACCAGAGCACTTCTGTGGCGGTTGGAGACCTGAGACATTACATCATAATTAGTGCACAACAATTGGTACCATTGTTGACAGAAAAACAAAGAATCTCTCTCTCTCTCTCTCTCTCTCTCTCTCTCACAGATCGTGCGAACGCTAAATCACTTTTTTCCCTCTCTCCTTGTCACCTCACTTCTCTAGAGATACCCAAAACTTCCGCTCATTCTAACTGAACTCAATGATCCACTTATCCCAACTAAACATCGCATTCCTCTACTACCGAAGGGAAAGGAGAAAGACATTCAACATCGAAGACATGCTACCTCAGCTAAACGACAATCGTCCTCGGTTAACAGAAATTTTTTTCCAAGGAAAGACTTGAGACACCTCCCCCTTGAGTCCTCTCTATCAAACGTCGCAAGCGAGAATCTAGCGATTAAATACATGGCGGAGCTGGAAATTCCCCAAAACAAGGGACATTCTTTTCGCGGAGGCCTCCGTAAATATTCTAACCAATAACCCCAGCGACGAGGATCGAGGCACAAGCCAAGAACCCAAACGGGGAGCAGGTTGGGGGGCTGAGGCAAACCTAGCTCCCTCGAACACGATGTTCTAGCTCTGTGAGCCCTCGTAGTGGCGTCACATTCTCCTTGAACATTCTGCCTCGACAATCTCTGTTGGGGAAAAATCAATTGAACGTCGGGAATTGACCTCTTTACTGGCCATCCCGGGCAAAATTTTGTCAGTCGACAGTATCACCAAGCAATATTCGACCGAGACTTCTCTCGTAAGATCGACCTCCAAAGCTTTTTCAGATCTCGAGTATTTTTCTCAGGAAACGTCACGGAGCAGCGCACAGAATTGAATTTGTTTTAGTTGGATTTGCAAACTGGACGAGAAAGTAGAGAAAACGGTGGAGTCCGAACGGTAAAAGGACCTGGTGCTTGTTGTGGGTTAACGTTGGAGGATGCTGTAGCTCCCGGAATTGAACGCTCCTGGGCTTGGACTGAGAGTTACTTCTTCAAGAGATTGCAGGATATTGCGTTGCTTGAGCCTCAGCATTGTTGGAACCTCTTCAGATTGTCGAACTCCAGCTTTCAGTTGCACAGACGTACAAGCGACAGCCCACTCATTCATTCTCTAGATTCTCAAGTTGACCACCTCGAGCCGAAAGAGACTAAAAACCGGCGCTCCATCAAAGAATGAGCTCAGCCCGAAAAGAGATCCTCGCTACACAGTGTAGCACTCCAAGGAAAGAAGTTGCCAAAGCCAATCTACAGATGCGACGAGGAAATTCACAACGACCGAAGAAATCCGGTCCCCATACAACAACTCGTAATGACCCAAGTCGCGTAGCAGAAGCGAGTTCCCTCGGATCACAACTCCTTGGCAGAGAAGCAAACAAAACCTAAACAATGCACAATCTGGGCGCTCCCCAAGGTCCCGATTTAACCATTGATCCACATACCCAGCTGAAATTTAGGTCTGGATGAAGCAGTGCCGAGACCCTGTGACTTGAAGCGACAGCTTCCTGCGGTGAGCTGTAATCACAGGACTGTGGAAACTTCTACGACACATCCCATCGAAGCCGACAGTCGCCACGGACCGTGCAGAGCGGCGGGCTAAATAATTGCGGGGAAGCTGCAGCTGTTGACCGGGTACCCTTGCCATGACGCGAACGCCCAGCTGATGCGCTGTTCCAAGGCCTGCTCCAGCAGCACGAGGATGACCTTGCCCCGAATTCTGCCGCCCAATTCTTCGAAACTGTGCTGAGATTCGCTCGCTGCTTCGTCCTCACATTCTCTCACTTGCCAGCGCTCGCGCGATTTCCTCCCCGCATCTGACTTGGGCTACATCAACCGGAAGCTCAGCATTACGATCAGAGGGGTGGGTTTGAGGAGCAGTGCGACGCAGCAACACACCGACAACTGCGAGAGAGACTACGAGAGCTCGGAGACTCATCCTGGGCATGCAAATAGTGCGTGATCGGCACAACCCAACTTCGAAAAGGGGAGCGGATCAAACGAGGCTTAGTGTGGCGCTGCTCTTCCCGGATTCAGCGCTCCTCCAGGTGTGGGAGGGAATGAGGGAGGGATCCATACCGGGCGGGATCCAGGGGTGGTGGTGGGGTTGCCCCTGCGGATGTGCCGGCCCCGGGATTCGCAGCGCGCTGAGTCCTCGGCCGTTGTTTCCTTAGGCTTGCGTGTTTGCTTGCTCCGAAGCTCCGCTCAATGCCCCCTCTTGCCAACACCCCCGTTCCACACAATAAATAAATAAACAAAAAAAGCATATATATATATATATATATATATATATATACAGAGAGAGAGAGAGAGAGAGAGAGAGAGAGAGAGAAAAAAAAAAGTGGGATTTTTTTTTGTTACACCAATAGAAATTTTTATATATATATATATATATATATGATAAATCCTAATTAATCATGTGTGTAAAAATAATGAATTTAAATTATATAATTGTATGTATGTATATGGTTATATAAGAGAAGTTTGAAATTTTATATAAGATTTTACTTATATCTTCTGAAGCTGCGATTATGTGTTTGTTATTTGAGTTGAATTACGGAAAATTTGTATTGATAATAATAGTTTTATTTTATGATTGCTTAGATAAATAAATTTAATTCACTTTCAGTTTGTGCATAAAAATAGACTTGTATACAATGAGTTAAGAATAAATAATAGAGGCTAAAAATACATCAACTAATTGTATTTGATAATTATATTATTATCTAAAAAAAACCAACATCATAGATTCTTTTTATTTAAATATTTTTTAAATAAATGAAATAGCATTGCACTTTTAAACTATTATGGCTACAAGGGTTCGATGTTTTGTTCCTTTTATTTAAATTACAAAGTCATTAGTCAATCACAAATTTCTATATTTAAATTATAAAGCCATTAGTCAATCACAAATTTCTATAGAGAATTGTACTATTTTTCAATTTTAAAAGTATATTAATATTAAATAAATATAAAAATAGATAAATGATAAAGCAACCCAATTTTTTTCTAAATTGATCCACATCTGTAAACCATCATTGTACCCTTTCAACCCCATCTCCATTCCCAACTACTCCTCTATTTCCAATTGTCGCCCCTATTTCCAACATTCCTAATCCCCTGCCCCTGTCTATAGCAATGGTTGGAAATAGGGAATGGCTGAGAATACAGATAGGGGCTACAAGGGTGTAATAATGGTTAAGATAGAGTAGTTCATTTTAATAAAAAATTGATTGCTTTATCATTCTCCTAAAAGTATATTATTATAATAATGGTATATCATGTAATAAATGAATTAAAATGTCATAGTAATTTTATAATGATATTTTACTAATATTGTAATACATCACATATATTTAATAATTTATGATGATGATTTCTTTAATATATAGTGTTAATTTAAGTATACATATATATATATATATATATATATATATAGTAGCAGCGTAAAATAATACTTATATATATTTATAATATAAAAATACTTTGTTTAAGTTAAATAACTATATAATAGAAGATTAAATGGCGTATAAGATTTAATTGTCTTCAAAAGTCTAATAACTTCTAAGATTCATTAGGATTAGATCAATGACTATTTTGTATGAATTATGACTACACTTGCAAAATCTTTAAGTTTTAGTCCTATATTCTTTTTATCTTAAATTTTTCCAGCTCCATAGATGCTTCATACAATTGTAGTTCTATATTGGTTCTAAGCATCCCAACATTGTTTCATAAAGTATTCATGCAATAAACACAAAGGATATAAAGTACACATGTTTACGTAGACAACATTGGTTGTGATTTCTTTTTCTTTTTCTTTTTAAAATGAAATGTTGCCAAAGCCCTTTAAAACTTTCATGGAGAAAGTTATCACAAATCAAGACAAATATGTGTTTTTCATAATTTCTGAAATTTCAAAATAAAATAGGATTATTAATAAATCATTAAAACCCAAAAACACTGATATTTTTAAAGAAAACTTCTATCTTAAAAATTATGAAATGACAATCTTAAAAATAATTATATGTTTGAAATTGTAGTTTATATGTTTGATTATAGTTACTAAAATTATATTAAAATTGTAGTTTCTAACCTAAATATATACAAATCAAAATTATCCTACAACTACATAACCATTACAACTTCAATAAGTTAATTATTCCAAAATAAAACTCTATATATAGACGATGAAAAGGAAGCAACTTTAATTATATATATTATTTTAATATAATATTAGTAACTATAATCAAACATATAATTTTTTTTTTAATAAATTATGTACAAATAAACAGAATTATTTATGTAACCATTATAAGTCATTCATATTAACCTTTACATTTTTTTTACATTCTATACATAAGAAAATAAAGTAAATAAAATTAATCGTAGAAATAAGCTACTTAAATTGATAGCGGCCCATGTGTTCCAAAATACATTATTATTTTGCTTCCTTAGATTCTTAATAATTGACTTTCATTGAAATAAAATGAAAAAAAATTGAAATTGAGGTCAGTTTTTGCAAACTATTTGTTGGGGCAATGTTGAAACTGTCAGCCTAGAACTAGGAGCTCCAAATTATTTTAAAAATTCATTTACTCCAACATGCAAAACTGAGCTTAGTTTGGCCCAATACTGTTTTGAGTTTTGAGTTTGGGATCGAGGTATATGTATGCACAATGAATATATACATAGAATCATATCCGTATCCGTATCCTGCGAAGGAAGACAAGACCACTAACTACTTCGGTCGACGATATCGTCATGCAGTGGATCCCCAACGAACGATAACGGGACGACGGAATAAATTTCGTCAAAAATTGACGTTTCGTCGGTTTTGGCGACGGAGCGTCCGTCTTATCCATTCTCCCTTCGGCAGCTCCCTCGACTGAGCCCACAGTGTGTGCGCGCGCACTCGATCATCGATCATCGCAATCTGAAAAGCCGAATCGTTCTTGCGAAATATCTTCGGCCTCGTCCGTTATCTTGTACCCAGCTGCTCAATGCAACGCAGATGAGTTTGACCTTATTTCGCAACAGACGCGAGCTGGAAGCAGTCCAGCACTGCGGGACGGATTCTGCGTTTGTGGGGTCTCATTTCACCTCGCATCTCGGGGCTACAGACTATGTAATCGACGTCTGTTTCTCGTATTTGATTTTGATTGGATTGGTAATGAACGTTACAATCTCCACTTAGCGGCAAACAACTTCTGTTGGGTGGAAAGCGCTTTTGTGGATTCGAGCTACGGTATGGAGGGCTTGTGGGCGAGGCCCGTAGCGGCTGCGCAATCCAGTGGCCAAGTTACACATGATTGTGTCCACCTCCCTTTAGTTCCCGCTGTACAGCGTGATACGGTGCAGCTGCAGCGGGGGGGCTTGAGCTCAGGGAAAGTGTTTAAGAAGCTCCAAATGCGGCATTGGTCTCCGAGAGCCTCCATTAGGGTACATTATTCGATCCGTTCTTGCGGATTTGGGTTTATCATGTATACTTGTGCTTGACGTAGAATGTTTCGATAACGTGACTGAAGTGTCGGATACCTTGTTTCCGGTGAGCATCATTCGGGGAATTTGTGTTCATAAGTGTATAATTGGGTATGGTTTGGAATCAGTTTCTAGGTCTAGAAACGTCTGGGTGATTTCTGCAGTCGGTGAATATGTGGAAGGAACAGGACGTGAGATTAATTTTCTGAGCTAGAGCAACAAAACAAAAAATAATAAAATAATAAAATGCTTTCCCCTTAGTTTCCGTGCTGTGTCGCAATCTGTAGGATGTTGAAAGAATGCTTCGATCTGGTGACATACCAACCATACCTCCCCAGAACGCGAAGTCACTGCTAACAGACGACAAATCCCCATATAAGTTGTTGGACGTGCGACCACAATGGGAGCGAGAGAAGGCTTACGTGGTGGAATCCATCCATGTACCTCTCTTTGTCGAAGATGAGGCCACAGATGCCGTGACGCTGCTGAAAAAGCAGATTCAGTTCGGATTCGGGGGCGCATGGCTTGGGCAGAAGTTCACAAAGCAGAACATGGATTTCGTAGAGCAAGTTCGGCAGGCGATCCCAAACAAGAATGATAAAATTATGGTAGCATGTGGCGAAGGAATGAGGTTAGTTCCCAAATTCATCTCCCCTAAAACCTTTCATGGATCTGCTTCTTGAGCCTCGAGCTATCTTTCAATCCCAACCAATCCAAAACCCTATTTGATTGTCGTAACTTCGCCCACCCCAACAATTGTCTCGAAGCATGACCCAATCTTTTTCACTTCGTTTTCGTTGGATCAGGTCCATGATGGCAATTAAGGAGCTCCGAAAGGCTGGGTACACTGAACTGGCTTGGGTAGGGGGTGGTTTCAACAATGTGCGGGACGGAGACTTTGTGACAGTTGAGAATGGTACAAAGTTGCAATGGGCTACAGTAGGGGGTGCGTCTGAGCTTTTCCTCAAATTTGCCGTGTTCTTGTCCGCGGTGACGACTTCAATAACAGGCTCACTCGCCGTCAAAGATGAACCAAAATGACCTATTGTTATTATTATTATTATTCCATTTTTCAATTTTGTGCACTGGCCTGCAGCCATGCTTCAATGCCTCAGACCATTCTCATGCTTTCCGATTCCATGCTAACTAGCCATTCCTGTTTCTAACGGAGATTTTTTTCTTAGAGCAAACAGCAATTCTCATGAGCAATGTATTCTCAAATACCGTTGGTTTCCATTGACATGGTTTCATAGAAGCTTGACTTGACTTAAGAATGATTCTCTAAACAAATAAAATAAAATAAAATCACGAGGAAAGCTAGTTAGTGCAGAAGTGCTACTGCTCTAGATTTGATTAGCAAGACATTTGTGTTTAGTGTTCAAACCGTGAGGATGTTCAATTTCGATTCGTTGATGTGAAGAATAATTTGCACTTAGAAAGCATTCTTGCTTTGTGCCCTGGTGTATTATTTCTTATCAGCACATCGTCCGTTAACGACTTTTCTTTCTACAGTTTCACCCTGCAATATTCATTGCACAGTACCTTGGCTAACTTGTGGTAGCAGTGTTGCATTGATACCCACACCCAAGGCGAGAATGCAACAGTTCTCTGAACCTTTTTCTATTAGACTGTTTGATTGTGTTAACAGGATAATTCAGTGAAATTGTATTGTTGATTTGTATGCAATTGCAATTACAAACCACATTGACTTGAGTGTGAATGTTATCATTCATCTTTTCCCTTTTAATCATCTTCAAATATAATGTAGTAATGCATTTCTTTATCTCACAAATTGCTTTATGTTTAAAATATCCATTTTTATTTTTGAAAAAATTGTAATGAATTTCATAAACCTCATACCTTTTCCACTATGAAGTATATCAAAAGAAAGAGAAAGGGTCAATGAAAAGTTCCCCAAAAAAACATGCTTAAGGGGCACGTAGAAATTTCTTGAAAGAAACAGAAGACCAATGATAAAGTGCCAACATAGAATGTACTAGAGCATATATCATGCTAAAGGAAAAGGTGGTAGTAAGAACAAAATCTACAGGAAATATTAATTGGAGGCTGGGATTGTGGCCTCAAGTGACATGGAAATTGCCTAAAGTTGCCTCGTATCTTAGCTTGGCTTTGGAGTTAGTGACCAATAGAATCAACTCTTTAGTAAAACCAAGTTTTTTTTTGCTATAGGTGACGCTTATTCAATTGTTATTTTCATAATAATCCACATTGTTTTTTTTCTGATGATTTTCTTGATGACAACTTTTGGTATAATGCCTGCGATAGTTTAATTCATTTTCAATAGAATTGTTATTTATACTCCCTATGGATGATGTTTTTTTAAAATGAGGGATCCAAAATCAGTCAGTGCGTGGTTCTAACAACACCCACTTCTATCATAAAAGACCCCGAATATTTTCAGAAGAGTAACAACTTTTTCTTCAACTGCAAACAGATATCATGCTCCAATTAGTTCTTTCACATGGTTTGTACCTTTCTCTCCTCATTGGAACCATTCTCCCACTTTCGTAGATGAATGATTATGTTTGAAAACGTTCTCTCCTCCTTCACAAAAGCATGTTTAGTCAGATCTGAAAGTTTGGTGGAATATGAAACTCTTTTTGCTTGGAAGGTGGGATTCAGCAAGACTTCGAACCCAATTCATGTTCAAAAGGAATTCTTTATCTTCCAGCAACTACGTTGGGAGGCCTTCGCTGCTCAAGGTGTAAATTTCACACAACTTTTCCGAGTTCCATGTCAGAAGACTTTCGTGGAGTGAGATTAATGGTACTATTTACATTGGTAAAAGTTCCATGTGCGAGATAATTGTGCGTTCTGAGGAAGAGATCTCTGCAGCTTCTGTTCCGCGAGACACTTGAAGAGCAAGAGCTGCTGTGTTAAGTGGAGGAAAGGAGGAGAAATAGTAGCTGATTTGTGCAGTATTCTTCCCAAAAATGGTGTTATAGAATGATGGATTGAGACCACTGATCACATGTGGGTTTACACATTACGAGGTCCAGAATGATGTCTCGTCTTGCATCAGCAACAGCACTTTGTAGAGCTCTACCTACATTTGTACAAGCCGGGAACTTTACTACGAACTCGCGGCCTAATTGGAATTGGAATGAGAGGCTCTAGACAAAGCTTCCCGTCGCCGTATTCATATCAACGGATGATTCGCCCATCTCTCTTGCGAAAGTTGAGCCCTGATGAGCGCTAGATGGTGAATGTGTGCCGAAAATATCTGTCTCTGGTCGCTGTACAATCAAAGCGTGGTGCGCATGCGCTTCGTGTCTGTGTCGGGCACATTAGCGTCTCCAGAAGAATCATCACTCGCGGTTGGTACTTCAAGCTCCTCTCCTTCAAACTGCATTCCATCACATTTACACGCACCGTTGTAATCTGGTAATACAACTCATGTGCGTCTTCAGCTACTCTTTGCAATTGCAAGGTCTCTAAACCGTAGAAGAAAAACAGTTAGTTGTAATTAACGCTCAATTTTGAAGACTTACGTTAGTAGTTTGATGCAGGCGTCTAGCAAGTGGTCCCAACGTCTCATCTGGCACTACGGCATATCTCTCAGCCGGTGATATCCAATTTGAAGCTGCTTGCAAACCCCAAATAATGCAAGAAAAGAATAAGCAAAAAAAATGTACCTAGCGTCTCCGTCAATAGTCTCCTGGTCATTCAGAAATTCATATTACGAGAGTTCATAGCTAAAATTGCGGTACATTCTGAAATTTAGTTAGAAACGACTCGTACTCTTACTGGTGCAATTTGAAGATCCAGAGCTCTCGATTTGCTCGCAGGCAAAGCCATCAGAGCTTAGTATCTCAATCCTCTTGGGAGTAGATCTACAAACAAACACAGAGCCAGTGTCATACTTGCCTGTTATATCAATACTCTGGTTTAAATCCATCACTGCTTTTCACATGATCCTGGAGCACATCCATGACTCTTTCCAGTCTGCGAAGAGATTCGAACCTGTCTACGGTATCGCCATGACCTAGCTGACCACTTGTGCCTCGGCCCCAGCTGTACACGTTGCCTCTATCAGTCATTGCCAGTGTATGTCTCCACCCACATTGTACAACAGTCACAACCTGCAGCACCCAAATTAACCAGCCTTAGCAAGATCCTCAAGGCTTCCGTTGCTAACTGCATGAAGCTACTCGAATCAGCTTTCCCTTCGAATAATTAAAATACCTGGTCTTGAAGGCCCTTCACAAGTTGAGGAGAACTCTGGTCTTCAGTGTTTCCACATCCTACTTGACCAAACTGATGAAACAACAAAGTAACACATATAAGAAACCAACGAGGCAATACGAACATCAAGTTAAGTTAATTCTCAATAAAATGAAACCATCGAACAAGTAACTAAGAAACTCCAGCACTGACCTTGTTCCAACCCCATCCATAAAGGCGCCCATCAGAGTCCAACGCAAAAGTATGCCGCCAACCTCCTGTGATCTGAAAGCCCAAACCACAAAATGACCAATATGCGAAAGATCTGCGTGACAAGGAAAATCCATAGAGGTGATTTTATAGGGCTAGAATTGTCAGTTAGTCAGAAGCAGAAAGCAAAAGTACCGCTTGGATCTTCTTGCTCTTCAGTGCTTGGACTTGATGCGGAATAAGATGATCGGCGAAGTCACCATGACCTAATTGTCCATACTTGCTCCACCCGAAAGTGTACATATTCCCAGACTCCGCAACACAAATTGTGTGGCGCCACCCGCATGCCACCATTTTCATTAGCTCCCCCTGTTCATGCAACATAGACAGTGTAAAGGACGACAAAGACCCACGTACCCGTCTGCTCCCTTCAACTCACAGCTTTCTTGAGATTGGTATCTAGTGTGCGTGCAAAGGAAACAGGACGCAATCGAAGACGAAGACATGAAGAGAATGAGGCTTTTGCGTACAGCTACAGCTGCTACTTGGTCAGGCACTAAGCGGTCCTCCCGGTCACCCAACCCAAGATTCCCATACCGCCCCCATCCCCAGCCGTAAAGCTTTCCGTTCTCGGTCACGGCGGTGGTGTGCTCAGCACCAGCAGCTAACATCTTCACTGCTACGCCCTGTATTCCGTAATAAGGTTAAGGAGGGAACGAAAATTTCATAACCCCAACCCCGAAACGGCGATGTATTCATGTGAGAAAATATGATAAAGAAACAAAACGCAGTGAACCCACCTCAAAGGCCGTCAATTTATGAGGGGTCAGCACATCCTCTGTGTGGCCAAGACCAAGTTGACCATTTTGGTTGCGACCCCAGCTGTACAGACAAAACGAAGTCAAATGTGCTTAGCGAAAGGACTCCGCATACTAGACAGAATGTACACTCGAAAAGTAGATGACTTCAATGACACCGTCTTGACAAACACAAAGATGGAAGATTGACGTTCAGAAATTGAAAAAACGTAAATTTTCCAGAGGCAACTAGGTATGAAAGAGTACCCGAGAACTTCACCATCTGTAGTAATAGCGAGACAATGACTGTCACCACAAGCAATCTGCTTTACCTCCAGGCCCTTTAGAGCCTTGATAGGCTGTGGTATAAACAAGTCGCTTGAATTGCCGTGCCCTAGTCTTCCAAAATCTCCCCTGTGAGGCCAAATGGCATATCAGACAGAAACAAGTTAAAATTTCTGCACCACGCTGTTTCCTTCCACGAAATACGGTGGCCACTTAGATCCTCAATCAAATCCTAAGTAACACCATTCCTTGTGATACGCAGAAAGCATCCATTACCAGCCCCAGCTGTATACAGTTTTGGTCGAGTTCGATAGGGCGGTAGTATGGTCTGCTCCGCATGTAACAGACGATATTTCACAGTCATCCAGGGCGCTAACAATTGTGGGGAAGTGACGTTCTTCGGCATCGCCATGTCCAAGTTGCCCATCTTCACCACGACCCCATGAACATACCAAGTCACCAGCTGCACAAAACACAATCCCCTCCCCGCTTCAATGAGACAAAAGCCAGTGCTGCGGATAACAATACTAAGTTATTACCACCAAGCCATCAGCTAAGTAAAACTAACATGTTCAGCTCTCAAGTGGCACTTCTCCAATTACAAAAGCTACAGAGGGAATCAGTAATAATATCTAAATGTTGTAGGAAAAATCCCTGCACTAGCCTACATTGATGCCTTTCATGGTATATTAAGGGCAATTTAAGTGTCGCCAAAGTCCTCAGAAATCTCCAAAATTAATTAAATAAATGCGCCGTGCAGGCAAGACTCCTTGAGAACACGGTTAGCATACCACCAAACAGATCTCGAATTACAGGTCATATACACCGGTGCGGCAGGCGTCATCAGTAAGGAAGAGAAACTACCCGTCTAATGTTCAGAAATCTAACAAGTGTACAATTCACTCAGTCACATCCATAGTCGGAGTTAAACTTGGGGGGGGGGAGAGAAACCCACAAATTTTTACGAACGAAAACGAAAACGATGCAACATGGAAAAAGCAAAAAAGAACAAAAACTGGGAGTTTGCCACTTCAGAATAGTGGTGGGTTAGGAGATGAGATAAATTCACAAGCGGTTATTCAGCTGATCGGTTGAGAGAACCTCTTGTCTGTCGGATGAGAAGAGGAGTAGAGAAGAGAAAAGAGACATAGCTTGCCGGTAGAGTAGCCGAACTTTCTGAAAACAGATTATACAGTGACCAACAACAAACGAAGTTCGCGAGCCCTTCAATTCAGACCAAGACTCTACGTGAAACAAATACTCATTCCAGGCTTCCTGGTCAATCCGGTCGGTAGCAATGCGTGAGATTCACACCTCCAAAAAGTCAGAGAAAGATTAGTTCCCGAGGAAATACAAGGGAGGGAGTATTCTTACATAGTAGAGCTACTGAGTGACTGGCTCCAGCAGACAACGCAAGGACCTGCCTCCGGACACCCCTGCTGCTCGAGGCTTTGGCATCTTCCATCCCTTTGAACACCTCTCCACTACCACTGCCGCAGTTTTCCCCAATCCTTATGCTTTAAAGTTACACATACCACCAAAAGCTCTGACCACCTCCTTACACACTCTACGTTCCAATGCACCGGCCCACTATGACCATTCAGCTCTAGAATGACACCCGATTCCCTAAAATCGTCCTCACCACACACACACACTTACCGCTCTCAAGATCAAGCACGACCCTCGAGCCAACAAAATCTACGGAAATTCCCACCCATGAACTTAACAAAAAAAACCGGGCTAACACACCCACACACATCCAATCTCGACGCGGACGCTTGAGAGCACTCTACCACAACAACGGCACACACTCCGCGGGACTACAAAAAGCAGACTACCACTACACGAACATCTCGAAAACTCGACACGAGGGCGTGAGAATCCACGAGATGGGTTGTACGCAGAGCTTCTACAGACACACACAGAGCATCATCAGAGACTCGATTGTGAGAGCAGCAGCGCGCATCGGCCCGCGTGCGAGAGGCAACGGAGCAGGGAGGGGCATACAAATCACGACCACAATCAAAACCCGAACCCGACTACATTCTGCGAGGGGGGAGGGAGCGATTGTTGGGTTTGTGCTGGAGCTGTGCACATCGTAGCACCGTGCAATCGCATTGCCAAAAGGGGCCGCGAGATTCGAGATGGCAATAGCGATGGCGCATGAAGAAGAGACTGTGTTGTTGGGCAGGCCCTCGCGTCTCGCTCTCTTTTGCTTCGCAGGCTTGGCCTCACTCTCTCTCACTCGCTCTCCCCCCCCCCCCC